TTGCTAGAGAACAAAACACTGCACTAACTATTCGTACAGTTACTGAGACTGTTTCGAACACAGAACATGCTAGCTTGGCTACTAAGAACATTTTAAACACGACAACGAACACAATGACAGGAATTACATCAGCCATTAATACAGAAACGGATAAAAATAAGCAATTGACCACGGGAACCACTTTAAACGTAGTACAGATTATTATAGTTACCACTAAGACAACAGTGGTTACGGAGACTATTTTTAACACTATAACGACTATGAACATGGATAGACAAGCTACGCCAACCAACGCACCTACCATGAACGTAGTAACAAATACTGATTTAAACACTACAATGAATACAATGACTACAGATCCTGCACAAATAACGAACATGGATAGACAAGCTACACCAACCAACGCACCTACCATGAACGTAGTAACAAATACTGATTTAAACACTACAATGAATACAATGACTACAGATCCTGCACCAAAAACGAACATGGATAGACAAGCTACCAACGCACCTACCATGAACGTAATAACAAACACTGATTTAAACACTAAAATGAATACAATTACTACAGATCCCGCACCAACAATGAACATGGATAGACAAGCTACACCGACCAACGTAAAAACTACAATGAATACAATGACTACAGATCCTGCACAAACTATTAACATGAATACAGGGACTGCTTCATACACCGCACCGATCAAGAACATAGAACCTACGTTAACTACGAATATAACTAACATGATTACGGGGACTGCTTCAGAAACCACACCGACCATGAAAGTAATTGCAGATTTGGATTCCGCTTCAGGTACTGCATTAACTACGGACGCAACTACAGGAACTTCTTCAAATACCGTACCGACCATGGACGTAGTTGCGGATCTTGATCCCGCGTCAGACACTGCGTTAACTATGTATACGACTACAGGGACTATGTCGGATACCACACCGACCATGGACGTAATTGCGAATCTTGATCCTGCTTCAGACACTGCACCTACTATGGATCCTAATTCATACACCCCATCAATTCAGAATAGGGCTGAAAAACCTATTTTAAACATAACATCTACTATGAACATGGTTATAAGGACTATTTCATATACTACACTGACTAAGGAAAAAGACAGAAAGACTATTTTGAGTACCACATCGACTATGAAGACGATTACAGAGACTATTCCGGACACAGTACCTACCAATACAATGAATATAAATATGACAAGTTCAAATACTACACAAGTAAAAAGTAAAGTCACAACACTTGTGAGTTACGCCACAACAACACCCAATCCAAATTCATCCAATCAACCTATTTGTCATGCTATTAAAAATGATGGAAGTACGTTTATTGTAACAGATCTTAAATGTTTAAGCTTGACACCAAAATCTCGGCAAACCAAGTACTGTCCATCAAATATAAAAATTTTTACTGATGGACCTACTAAATTAAAAATAAACGACTATAGTTACAATATTAGTGATATTATCACCAACAATTGTCATAATTATCCGAATAGTAAATCTTGTAAAAGAAGTAATACAGATAGTTACTGTGGAATCTCACAATGCGTTGTATCGTGGGCACATGATATTCATGTACGAATTAATGGTAAGACAGTGAGGATGATAGCTCACAATCCTATTGGAGGGACGAAATACTGGACAGTTAACTCAAAAATATTTGATGGTTTAGCAAACAAATCTCAATACAAAGCTTTGACTGATTGTATTAGTCGTTCTTGTGTTAATTGTTTTGCATCACCATTTACCTGTAAAACAAATGAGGAATGCAAATACGCATGAAGTAAGCAAGGAAATATTAGATAATATTAGATAATAGTAGATAATATTAGATGATATTAAATAATATTAGATTAGATTTTTTTTTTAGAAATATATATATATATATATATTCATTTATGTATGTTATGTATATGTATTCAGAGTTTATGTATATTTAATATTCATGGGTTGAATGTATATATATTGTCACGGATCATGGTGAAATCGGATCATCGTGAAATTTGAATCTATTTTATCTACGATTTTTAAAATTTTTTG